CAATGATCCCTCCCACCACCCGCTCATCGCCGCCGCGCGTCATTCCTCTTCTGTTGGTGTTGCTCGCTTTCATTGTCGCTCTTTTCGCGCTCTCACACTCTCACTTTCTCGGATTGTTCACTCGCTCACCGTTATCTACATGCATAGTATCCAGCTGCAGAGCTCCTCATCCGCTACGCATCATTCCTCTTCTTTTGGCGTTTCTCGCTTGCATCGTCGCTCTTTTCGCGCTCTCACTCTCTCACTTTCTCGGCATGGTTCCTCCCTCATATCTACATGCACTGTATTCAGCTGCAGAGCTCATCACACAATGATCCCTTTCACTCCCCCCACCACGTTCACGCACGTCCAACAACTTCCGATTCCCGACTCTTCCCGACAACCAGTCAACGCCGCTGGGGTCACCACCCGCCTTTCGCTCGCCCCTGAGTCTCAATTTCCCTTTCAATTTCCTCTCAACTTCCTCCCATCGTTACTATCATCTTGCTCTATCACTCGCTCGCGCCTGGCTCTTCCCTCAAAAATGCCGAAATCTGCCCCATCAAAACCCCTTTTTACAACAAAGCCCTACGACGCACCACAAAAGAAAGTCAACAAACGCGGACGTCCTCGCAAAACATCCCCCACCAACACTTCTTCAGCCCTTCAGTCTCATCCCAAGGGCGACGTCCCCACAGCCAATGATCGTGGTAAGTTCCCACGTACGTTTGCGAACAATTGAACTGACCTTGCTTTCTCACTGACAGCTCGGAACCATGTCGTGTCTGCCTCACCAAAACCCCTTTTGACTACCAACCTCTACGACGCACCACGACCGAAGGTCAACAGAAGACCGCCTACCAAAACTGCCCCATCTGCCCCATCGAAATCCGTTCTTACTGGCAAGCCCTACGGCGCATCAGAACCGAAGGTCGACAAAGGCGGACGCCCTCCAAAACCATCCCCCACCAAAACTCCTCTAGCCCTTCGCTCTCATCCGGAGGGCGATATCCCCCAGTACTCTGTCGGTCCTTGCAACTACGTATGCGAGAAATGCGGTGCTCTTCACTGGGCAGGCGAACGTCTAGCCGCCGACAGAAACTCTACCTCACATGAAGCCGTCTTCTCTTCCTGCTGTTCAGGCGGCAAAGTCATTCTACCGAAGGTGCTAGACCCTCCTCCTCTCTTGAAAACACTCTGGACAGCCGATACTGCCGGTAAGTTCCGACGTATGTTGCCGTACAATTGAGCTGACTTTGCTTTCTGACTCACAGATGCGAAAGCGTTTCGAAAAAACGACAGGAGCTACAACGGTGCGATGGCCATGGCTTCTATGAACTTCAAGAAGCAGGACAGATCCGTCTATGGTGGCAAGGGTATCTATACCTTCTCCATCTCAGGCAGGGTCTACCACCTCATCGGCTCTCTCCTTCCGCCGCCCGGTGGTAACGTCCAGTTTGCCCAGATCTATATCGCCGACATGTCTGCCGAACAGCGTGCCGAAACGCGTCGCGGGATCTACCACAATCTCTGCGATCCCTCGCTGCTACGCGATATAGACTCTACCCTCCACCTGTCCAACCCCTACGTCCAGTCCATCATCACTTGCAAGGAACGAATGGATGCGCACAACGCAAACAATGTACACCTTCATCTCCACATGTCGCAAGATGGTCATGACCCCCGGACGTACAACACGCCTACATCGAACGAAGTGGCGCTCATCTACGACATTGCTAATGACAAAGAGCACAATGGCCGCGAGCTCATATGGCAGTCTCGCGCGACCAGCTCGCTTCATCGCATCCCCGAGTTGTCCGAACACTTCGTTCCCTTACACTTCCCTCTCCTATTCCCCTACGGCGAGCCGGGCTGGCACCCTCGCATTCCACTCAGCACCCCTGGCGACCTCCTACATTACTCCCCTCAGGAATTGGTATCCGAGATGGCACAAAGCGAGACAGCAGCGTTTGGTCCCAATCCTAGATCCTCCGACCCGCTTCTACCTCCCGTCCCTCAATGTATGTCGTTTCAGCTGTCCCTATGGATACGAACTGATGAATACTATAGCCTCCCTCCGCAACGAGCACGGACCTCACGGAAGGAACGGCTCCAACCATGTCACGCAGTCTCAGTTCTACGCGTACAGCCTCTTCGAGCGCGAAGGCGTCTTCAACACGCTTCACCACGCTGGCTTGCTCTTTCAGGAGTACCTTGACGATGTCTGGGCACAGACGGAATCGAGCAGGCTACGGTTCCAGGAGCAAAATCAAGCGCTCTTCCGAACCGATCGAATGCGTGGTCTTGCGGACGCTTTGCACGATGATCTCACCGCGGACGACGTCGGGAAACAGGTCTACCTCTCGCACTCATTCGCTACGGGGCCTCGAGCTATGAAGTTCGAATACCTCAACTCGATGCGCGTCGTTGCGAAGCTTGGCCACCCCGATCTGTTCATCACCATGACCTGTAACGGGCAATGGCCAGAGATCACTGAACGGCTGCAACACGGTCAGACAGCTTCCGATCGTCCGGACATCGTTGCCCGCGTCTTCATGCTCAAGCTAGAAGAGTTCTTGCATGACATGACGGTCGAGGGTATCTTCGGAAAGGTCAGATATCTTCACTTCGTCATAATGCCATACTCATCCTCCCCATAGGTCATCGCGCACATGTACACGATCGAGTTCCAGAAGAGAGGTCTCCCCCATGCCCATTGCCTCTTCATCCTCGACCCTTCGTCAAAGCCGAGAACGCCCGAGGACATTGACCGTATGGTGTCTGCAGAGTTCCCCAACCCATCCACGGAACCCACTCTCCTCGCGCATGTCACCAAACACATGCTCCACAGGCCCTGCGGAGATTTCGACCCTTCTGCCCCATGCATGAGGAAGAACAGTGCCCACAACACGCCCTGCTGCAAAGCTCACTTCCCCAAGCCTCATGCAGATGAGACCGTGTTTACTCTCGACACATATCCTGTCTATCGTCGTAGACAAGACGGCTACACATTCAACCAGCACACTTCCCATGGCGACTACACGTACAGCAGTCAGGATGTTGTTACGTACAATCCTTACCTGCTCTTGAAGTACGACTGCCACATCAACGTAGAAGTGTGTTCGTCGATCTCCGCCGTCAAGTACATATACAAGTACATCTACAAGGGCGAAGACAGAACAATGTACAACATCTCGGAGCCGAGGAACGAGGTGGCGGAATACGAGGATTCGAGGTACATCTCTCCGATAGAAGGTATGTCCACTGCCTCATACTGTCAAACATATCTGACCTCTCATCATCAGCTGCATGGCGTATTCTTTCTTTCCCGATGAGAGACCGAAATCCCGCTGTCAATGTGCTGGCATGCCACCTACCAGACGAGCAGTCCGTCTTCTTCAAAGAGTCTACCGATCTCCACAAGCTGCTAGACGACGCCCGCGCTCTTCGAACGACTCTCACGGAGTTCTTTGTGGCCTGTCGGACTTGGCCGGAAAAGCTGAAGAATACGGTCTATCCTGATGCTCCACACCATCTCTCGTGGGTTCCGAAGAGCAAGACCTGGAAGAAACGAGCCCAACACAACGGCACCATTGGAAGGATCTACGCTGTCCCTCCTTCAGCTGGCGAAATCTTCTACCTCCGCCTCCTCCTCCACCATGTCCGATGCCCCAAGTCCTTTGAAGACTTGCGTACCGTCGACGGCGTCTTGAGACAGACGTTTCAAGAAGCTTGCGCGGCGCTCGGGCTTCTCGCAGATGACCAGCAGTTCATCGACTGCATTCGTGATGCTGCCACAATTTGCACCTCGACTGCCATCATCCGCCTGTTCGCCATCATCCTTACCGAGTGCCGTCCCGCCGCCCCCCTCTCTCTGTGGAACGAGACTTGGAAGTGGATCGCCGAGGACGCTGTGTTCCGTCTCAGAACGTGCGAGCATATCGAACAGCCTACAGATGTACAATGTCAAAGCTATGCACTCGCCCAGCTTGACTACATCCTGAAAGGTATGCACTCAACCCTCAAAGCCGTCGGTCTACCCAAACCCGTCATCAACTTTGATATTGAGAAGCACCGAAACCGCCTTCTGACGGACGAGCTCTCCTACGACAAAGACGAGTGCAACGATCTGTGGGAAAGAAACAGCGCCCTCTTTACCGACAAGCAGAAGGCGATCGCTAACGAGATCATCACTGCCGTCAAAGATTGCCTCGGCACCTGCTTCTTCCTTGATGGACCGGGTGGCGCTGGCAAGACGTTCCTCGAAAACTCCATCCTCGCCCATCTCCGTTCCTCGGACAAGGTCATCCTGGCCGTTGCGTCCTCGGGCATAGCCGCGCTGCTTCTCCAAGGCGGCAGGACCGCTCATTCTAGACTGGCAATTCCCATTGACGTCGATGAGAACAGCACATGTTCCATCACGAAGCAGAGCGACCTGGCCGGTCTCCTTCGCCGCGTCGACATGATCGTCTGGGATGAAGCCCCGGCACAGCATCGCAACTGCTTCGAAGCTGTCGACCGGTCCTTGCGAGACATACGCAATTGCGACAAGCCTTTTGGTGGTATCACCGTCCTTCTCTCCGGCGATTTCAGGCAGTGCCTTCCTGTCGTCCCCAAAGGTTCGCCAGCTCAGATCTCTGACGCCTCCCTTATTCACACCCCCCTCTGGCGAAATGGGTTTATCAAATTCCTCGCTCTTGACGAGAACATGCGATTGAAGCGTCCTGGGATGACGGAACAGGACAAGTCGGAGACGGCGCGCTATGCGCAATGGCTTCTCGACATTGGCAACGGTGTCTCGATCAACGACGAAGGTCTCATCCACATACCCGACAGCATGCGCTGCCCTGACCTCGAAAAGCTCATCGAACATGTCTATCCAGATATCAACGAACGCAACCCCTCGGAAGAGTCAACCCAGACATACTTTCAAGAACGTTGTATCTTGGCACCGACAAACAGTGCCGTCGATGGTATCAACTCTGGCCTACTCGATCGTTTCCCTGGCAACGAGAAGGTATACTATTCTGCCGATCAAGAGAATCTCGACGAAGGTGCTGTCAGTTCCTATCCCACAGAGCTCATCGAGAGTCTTTGCCCGCCAGGCATGCCAGAGCACGAGCTCCGGTTGAAGATCGGAGCGCCTATCATCCTTCTCAGGAACATCGATCCTCACGCCGGTCTATGCAACGGTACAAGACTCATCGTCAAAGACCTTCTGCCGAATGTCATCCAGGCGGTTATAGTCACTGGCGACCATGCAGGAGAGATGTGTCTGATACCCCGCGTCACCATCTTCTCTCCAGCCAATGCCGGCCTCCCCTTCGTCTTCCGTCGACGTCAGTTTCCCGTTCGTTTGGCCTTCGCGATGACAATCAACAAAGCCCAAGGCCAATCGCTCGATATCGTCGGCATCCATCTCTCACTTCCCCTCTTTGCCCATGGCCAGCTGTATGTTGCTTTGTCGAGAGCCAAAATACCCGCCAGCGTCAGAGTCCTTCTGGACGACACGGAGAAAGGACGTGCTGGCTATACCCGCAACGTCGTGTATCGAGACATTATAGCTTCCACCTTAGAGACCTTTGCATGATCCGAACAGGTACGTCTAATGATGCCGTTGTAGCGATGCTGATGGAACCATAGCGATAGTCATCAAACTGTAGCGATAGTCATCGAACTGTACCGATAGTCATCAAACTGTAGCGATAGTCATGGAACTGTACCGATAGTCATAGAACTGTACCGA